ATGGGGAGGCAGTGCTGTTTAATCCCCTAACAATAACCCTTGACCAGCACTGACCAGCTATGAACCTCTGAATGATGGCATTATTAAAGTCTTATTTATAAAGGAAATTACTCTCTTTCCTTTATTGCTCAATATCAATGGATTGAGTCAAATGGTTCCCTCTTCCACCTATTCCCCAAACGTCAAACCCTCAAACCCCTTTCTCCCCAGCCATGGTATCAAGTTTATGGGAATAAGACCCTCCTTTAGTTACATTCTATACCTCAAATAAGCCTAATCAGCTTTATGCCAAACTTACAAATCAACGCTGGTCCGTTCAGCAAACACTGGTTGCTCTACAGCCAGGCTTTCAGGGGTTTACCAATGAAAGGAAGTGAGATTATTGGAATAAAAGTGAGTCTTTTACCTACAAAAGAGAACATTTCAAAATTCTTTTGATAAATATCAGGACTTATAGCACTTGATCCATACACAATAACTTCCCAAATGAAATCTCAAAAGAAAATTCAGCAATTTGTAGGAACATTTCCAAACTAGGTTAAGGACCTTATCTCATACATTGAATCCCTCAAGGTTGGAAAATTTATGAGAAAGCGCAGATTTATTTTAGGTTCTAGAATGCAAATATTACCAAACAATGAAACAGATTTGATTCTCATGGGATATGCTGGAATGAAAGATTAAAACATTCAGAAGTTTGGAATGTACAAAAATAAAATCAGCAAAGAGCCAATCTTTTGCACAGGAATACGCTTTCAATCACAAATACATTCCAGTGGAAATTTCTTCAAGGCTGTAGTTAAAAATTGGGATACAGAATATATTCTTATCAAATTCATTTTTTTTCAAAGAAGGACAATTTGTCACAGAAAGTTTCTTATAATAAAACAATATAATGAAACATCTGAAAAGAAATGAAAAGAAACTTGATGAAACAGATTAAAAAGAGACTACCTGATTTGATTGGAGAACATGTTTCTTTAAAAAATGATCCATCCCTGTTTGTTGACAGTCGAATGATCCTGAAATGATCTTTATCCCTGGGAAGCTATTAAAGACCAATCAGACTCTCTTTTAGTACTTTCATGGTTGATGATTTTGATACTTACTGTATTGCATAGACATTAATCATTCCATTTCATGATACAATCGATTTACATTGTATTTATATATATCTACCTATTTTCACATTTTAAAACCTCTTTGCCATGAATAGAAATAAAGATAAAACACCCTACACCGGACTAAACTTTTAGGTTACTGTTTTGCATTATTTTCACAGGTTTTTTTTGTGTGTGAGGGATAGAAAGAGGGAGAGAGAGAGAGAGAGAGAGAGAGAGAAGAGAGGGAGAGTGAGAGAGAGAAGAGAGTGAGAGAGAGAAGAGAGAGAGAGAGAGAGAGAGAGAAGAGAGAGAAAGAGATGTTGTTGTTATTGGTTTAATGGCGTTTGATTCTCCATTGCTGACTGGATGATTTTCATCAGGCAGAGCTAATTTTCTTTTTAAAGCATTTACTATGTGTGAAAAAATGCAGATTGTGGTATATACATATAAATGTACCCTTCTGAAATATGGAAATCAAAGTGTATGATTGGGGCAACAAGTTGTTTAAAAGTTTGGCTTCTATTCTTATCTGTCAACATTTCATCAAGGTATTGTTTATTTCCCCTATTCTTCTGTCACTGAAAATTAACAGACATAGTATTTGTACATCTGTGCGAGAAATGGGGATTGGTAATGAGGGATGAAAGTGAGTGGAATAGCCCAAAGCAAAATGATAATTAATAACAGGACCAAGTTTGACAAGCGACAGAAAAATATCCAGAAGGGCGAAGGGGTTATTGGAAAGTGTTGATATATATGTTGATTGCTATCTTAATCTTCCGTAACTTACTTTGGGCTCAGTCCTAGACCGACATTCTGAGCTTACATGGGTTTTTTTCAAATGACAAAACCTAACAATATAATGCTTTGTTCATTACAAATATAAATACAGATGTCTAAAGGACTGAAATAAGACTAGTGGTGAAATTGCATGCTGAGAAGTAAAGTGTTGATTGGTTCTTGTACTTTGGTGATGAATTTGCTTAAGTTTCATATCATGTACAATGTCCTGTACATAACAAAACAAAGAAAAACATATCTACACCAATAGGCCTACCTATTTACATTTTCAATTTCATTTTTAAGTATGTAGCTAGTAGTAATCCTTGTTAGATGATATAAAATCATGTACCTCGCTGAAACTTCTCTGACAAAAGACATACCACATTTCCTGGTGCATTGAGTTTATGAAATATAGTTTTCCTATCTGTCTTGACCCCACACAGACAATGACAAACTGGGGTCATGACCTTCCGGGTCCATTTAAACATGGGAATTTGAACGTGATACACGTTTACACAATAAACATGTCAGTCATACCCATCTCGGCATACATGTGGGATTAACAAATCAAAATAAAGAAATGAATGGAGATAGATATTATATGATCTGCCTCTTTCAAATGAAAGTGCTTTCTATCTGGTCCATGATACATCAATATTGAATGAATTTCAAAATCTGTATTTTTATCAATTTAAGTGTAAGCTAATTACACATCAAAACGACTCGCAGAAAACAAAAGAAAACACAGAACCAAGGTCCAACTTGGGTTCTGTGTGTGCGGTTCTACGCTACCGGTATTCTCTTTTTTTTCATACTCCTTATTAAATCAGGCAATAGAAAGCCGAGTTCAGTTTTTAAAGGTTGATTTTATACATTCTGTTATACATTCTGTTTTCAGGTGATTGGGACATGTACACTTTAAGATACCTTGGCAGCTTCTTTATGCAGTGAACTGTTGTGACTGATAGAAAAAAAAATCTACTAAACTAACTTCCTTCTCAAATGCCTGACAGGGATTACACCCAAGGGTCCCTTGGACAAACAACACTAGATAAATGCAGGAGGGGGGGGGGGGGGGCAGTGGTGGAGAAAAAAAACCTAGGCCAAGTACACTGGGGTCACGCTAAATATGATATCATTTAGGGTCACATATGGGACTAAGAAGCCAAAGATTTTAAAGATAAACATTTGTGTAGTTCTAGGACAGCAACCAAGGGGGAATTTAATTCACCTTTGCCACTTCTGGAAAAGTTGATCTTGAGGGCACAAGTTGGAGAAAATTGAAACTAAATTCATCTGTGTTATGCACATTTTATGACTAGCCTGCTAGGCCTAGCTTACATTACAGGTAGTATTAATGACTAACATATATATCACCGGCGTTAAGATGACAATTCAAATGAATAAAAAAAAAAAATAAGGTTTAAGTTTAAGCATATTTTTTCAGTGATTTCTTTTTAGACTCATAACTTTTCACAAGTAAAGGACCTAAATTGAAAAAGAAGAAAAATCATTCTTTCTTGCCATAATGCAAATCCTATAATCCGATTGAGTCTGCTCAAGAATGAAAGGAAGTAATTGATATTTCCTTGATTGATGACTGAAGGAAATAATCAATTTCAATGGATTGGAAAAGGAAATAATCGCAATGCTTGCAGTTTCCAGTTTAAAAGAGAATCACTCATCAATTTCGTCTATGTTTCACATGTACAAAGAGTGTAAACTTTTGACCTTGGCTGTAATAAAAGGTATCATTTCCACATCATTCAAAGTATGATTAGAAAATACATCATATTTGGAATTCTCATTGAAATTTAGATATATTTCTCTTCAAAATTAACAGGATATTGTAAAAAAAAAGACGTGATCATGTTTTAATATTTTTCTTTGTGGAATTAATCAAATGTGGTTATTCACCTATGATTGCATGTACAAATAGTTTGTTGTGAGTAAGATGTTATTTCATAGACAAAGATAAATTAGTCATATACCATTGAATCAACCCAATTTGGGTCTGCATTCTCATTACCTAAACCACAAGTCCATTTATTCCCTATACTGCATGTGATAATCATAATAAAAAGTTTTCTGAATTCCCTTTCCAATTACAGATCAAATTACAATCACTATACCCTGCTTACAGTGCCAAAACTTTTCTTTGGTTGAAATTGAAATAATCCACTTATAATTTGATGGGTGTTTTTACACTTTTAGAAAATAGTGGACTTATTGGATAATTTGTTTTCTTACTACATTTCAATAAATCATACATAATTGAAAAACAAATCATGGAATACCTCACTCTTTTCACATACAAAGCAAGGGCTTCATAACTACATCTAGTACTACTGCATTCATGAGCAAACATTACTTGTCTCAGAAGCGGGCTATTCCATTTCGTGGCCAGGGGTAAGGTGAGAACAAGAATGTCAGAGGTCAAAGTTGAACTCACATCTTCTGCGTTTCAATCATCACCCTCATTAGGAACGTACAGATGTGAGCTTTGTTTGGTAAGAAATGTGCCTAAAATCCCCGTCTTGGTATACCTTTCTCCCGCTGAACCCTAAAAAACTATTTCAAATAATCCAGGATTTCTTGTCAAAAAACCATTTCCCCCAAGGATCAGGATCTCATCAAAATGCAATCCAATCAAACAAAGTCTTGATTTGAGGGAATTCAAAATGACTTGATTCAGTGTTCCACAGCTGGACGAAGATGCCTCAAATATTGTGAAAACATCTCATTTATACAGCCAAGTTCGGGCAGGAGACAAAGACCATGACTAGTTTCTTTTGATTTCCTCTGAATGCCAGAAGGAGTGACTGTTCCTTTGACTATTAAATAGAAGTGGTACCAGTTTTCTTACTTTTTATCCTATGTGCTTTGCTATTTGACCATGGTGGTTTATGGATTATTGCCAGATAAATCTTCAACACAGTATCACCAGAAAAAAGCTGATCCAACAACTCCATCATACCTCAAGAAAAGGCAATTTATGGGATCAACAATATTATCTCTCCTTCAAAAAAAGTTAGCTTTTACAAATGTGTTCTTAAACAAGGTGGACAATTAAAACAAGAGATGAAAATATAGAAGGAATGTATTGATTCTTACCTGAGTCTTCAGCAATGACGATAAGTTCAAACTCGTTCTGGTCCTCGTAATCCAAGACATTTGTGACCTGGATCAGTCCGCTGGTGGAACCGATGGTGAAGAGTCCATCGTAATCGGATTCCAAACGAAAGTTGATCATCCCATTCACGCCACTATCAGCATCATCTGCCCTGACTTGGACAATGTCTGCATTGGGGAGATTGTTTTCCATAATCGAAGGAGCGTATGAGTCTTCAAACACAGGTGCATTGTCATTGACATCGGCCACAGTGATGGTCACTGTGACGGATGAAACCTGGGTGGAGTATCCCTGATCCTGAGCACGAACGGTCAAGGTGTACGATGACCGTTGCTCATAGTTCAAACCTGCATTAACAGAGATCACTCCAGTGACTGGATCGATAGCAAAAGCACGACCGCTGTCACCACTGAAGATGGAATACCTGATGATAGAGTTCAATCCCTCGTCAGGATCAGAGGCTGTGACCTTCAAGAACTCCAGACCAACGGGTGTGTCTTCATCCAGAGTAGCTTCATAGGGTGTCATACTGAATGCCGGGGCATTGTCATTGACATCGGTGATGTAGATTGTGAGGTTCATGGTGCTTGACTGAGGTGGGGTGCCTTTATCTGTTGCCTGCACCAGGAGAGAGTAAGAGGATTCGGTCTCACGATCCAAAGGACCAGTCACTTGCATGTTGCCTTCAACTCTGCTGACAGCAAAAGGCACACCTGGTGTCAGCAGGTAGTACTCTACATAGCTGTTCCGCTCCACGTCATCATCCTCTGCACGTAGGACCATGATGATGACGTTGGTACGGGTGTCCTCTGCGATTTCAACAGAGTCAGGATTGGTGAAGCGAGGAGCGTTGTCATTGATGTCGGTCACAATGATGGACACCTGTGCTGTGCTAGACCTTCTGTCCTCAGGGTCGAGGGTCATGTCTGAAGCAACCACTTCCAGGTTGTAGAAGGACTCTGGCTCTCTGTCCAGGTTCTTGATGGTCACTATGGTTCCATTGGGATACACTGTGAACCTCTGAGATGGGTCACCTGAAGCAATGCTGAACTGCAGCTCTCCATTCGATCCTGTACAGAGAAAGATGAAGACAACAAGAAACAAAACATATTTAAAATTCCACAGTAAAAACATATTTTAGAAATATATACTAATATTATTATTTCTGTCTGTCTTAATCAAGGCTAGCTGTCAGTGTGTATCATGACTTTAATTCTGACCTTGCATGATAAACAAAGTCACATTCGAACATCATCCTAGAAGAGAAAAGCTGTCACTGGTTAACATCGCGATTCCTTACTTTTTTCCCCAAAAACATCTCCCATGTTTCTTATCGATTGAACATCAAAGCTAGCTGAGCTCTCTATTAACGTCACATGCAAACGGCAATTAGCACCTTCACCCTTGTCCTTCCACACACTGCAGTCATTTGATTGGAACAATCTTGTTCAAAACATTTGATATTCCGAGGCAATCCCCTTCATATCCCGCCTTACCCCCCAAAGAGGGTCTAAACCAGTCCAAGTTCATCAGAACCAGGTCTCATTTTTCACTGACAGCCCTCGCTCTGAAGGTCAACCCTTTTCAATTTGGTGGAAAATTGTCATTCTGAGGGATAGATGACAGAGAACATCTGCTTTAAAAAGATTGGAGATCAAGGTTCACATAAATTTGATGTATAGTGGCATAGATTACCAAACATCAAAAACAAACGTTGCAACTTTTATATTAATTTCAGCAAAATCATATCATCATATATCATCTGTTTTCCAGCCAGAAGAAGATTAAATCATACCATTTTTACATAGAGTCAACACATTTCTGGCTCCAAACAAATGATATTCAGTTCAACAAAGGCTAAGGTATTGATTATAACTTTAAATAGTACTACTTTGTCATATCAACTTCAGTAAAGTATACAAGATACCTTGTACCCGGTATGTCCCCCGTCAAGTCATTGCAAGACATGATGTTGGATTTTAAAAAGCCGAAAAAAGATAGTGGGATGAGGTGTCCGAGTTGGATAATTCCTGGAGCTATCTAGGACAGCAGTAGACCACATCCTCTTCGGAATCTAACCATGATCTAACGTCTTTTGATATCATGTTCATTGTGAATGACGAATCTAGCTTTGATTTAAATTCATGTGTCATATGTACTGGGAGGATACAATGGGAGCCTCATACCTTTCCTCTGACTACCATCCCCACCTGAACTTTGGAAGGAAGCGAAAAAACAAAAAAGCTTCATTGCAAATAGTCCGTACCTCAAGGGGACGCTCGTTGCGGCTGCTTTGTTATCGACACTGCATGCGCCCCTTAATCTTCAGACAAAATGCATAGGGGTGTTTCATGGGCTCAGCGACAAATTACAAGGGTCCTTATGTTTCAAGCTTAGGTCAAAGAAATGAAGTCACATTCCTGTGACTTGGAGAGAAGTTTTGTCAAGATAGGGGCTCTTGATGTAATTTATTCATAATTTTGACATTCCCCTGATGAACGTCAAGATCTCCCGGCACTGATGGAATGATCCAATTCTTTTCTTTTTTTGCCAAAAAACAATTTGAGTTCTAAATCCCTAGTATTTCTAGCCCACTCTTCTGTTTGAAGTTGCAAGATGTGTTTTGATATTGTTTTTAGTGTTGCTGGCGACATGGTTTCTGATGAAAACATGATATTAATGCTTTTGGGAGAGAGATTTGTCAATTATTGAATTGATGTTTCCTCAATTTACATCTAATTCCTCCATTTATCAAAAAGCAATACAAATGTAATTTTCTTTTTTCATTTATAGATTTGAAGATAGCTTAGGTGTGAAATTCAGCTGTCAGACTTATGACAAGTTGATCAACTTTTGTCTGTATAAAACAACATTTAAAGACACAAGAGACACTTCATGTGAATTTGCCCCTGAAGTAACATGAAAAAGCCCTGGTCCCTGCAGAACTTTTAGGTAGCTCCTGTATATTTCTTTACTAGAAAAGAGTCCCACCCCCCGTTTTTGAAATTATGAAGATCAACATAAGGATATTCTGAGCCGGAGGGACTTGTGAAAATGATGTAAGATGGGGAGATCATAAATTTCCATATAAAAAGGTTGCTGGGAGGGTACTTTTATTTATTGATGCAAAAGTAAGATGACATTTGGCCTTGGCCTCATTATCTTTTCTCACTTATCCCACAATAGAACAATGATCTTCTTTTCCCCTAAATCTACAGAAATATGACAGGGTATGATCGAAGCATACTTCCTTTATCCTGCGAACATCATGATATGATTGATGAGGCTAAATCCTGTCTATTGCCGTTTAGAATCTGAAGATGCTCAGCCCTGCTTAAGCTAAGCACAGTCCCAAATACATCAACACACATTATCACCTACATGTACAATAGGATCAGTATGATAAATTACTTTTGAATTCCATCTTTACAAATACCATAGCCGGGGTGGGGGTCATGTTCTGGTTGCTTCATAGTGAATTGACAAAGGGGGCAAAGATCCAATGATGCTATTCCCTCAAAGCCGTGATCGATTCATAGCTCGTCCTATTTTAATGCCATGCCGAGCGATACAAACACCTGAAGTGTAAAGCATACCAGGTACTTGTTTCCACCATCTTTTTTCTCTCTATCTGTCTGTCTGTCTGCCTCACTTACTAATTTCCATCTTTCTTTACAACTTTCATCCCTCTGCACTTTAATAGATTTTCTGGATTAACTCTGCATGCGATTGAGGCTGTATGATAATGTACTACGGATTAGCTAGAGAGGCATACAGCATTAGAAAGGCCACTGCGTTGCCTGGTATGTTGGGATGAAATATAGTTATTTAATCTCGATCGCAGCACAGTCCCATATCAATATGTCATCAGTACGGAAACATTCTAAAAAACACCAACCTTCTTTTCCGAGCACAATACATTTGCCATCAAGCATGATTAATTACCGGGAAGTTGAAAAGAAATGAGTCAAAAGATGTTCTATAGCAAAGGAGCTCAGATTTGAAACTTTATAGTTAATGTCACACCTGACATGAATTAACATGAATAACATAATCTCATGTTGCCAAAACATTAACACATACATCAATTTGTGTAAAATGCATGCACTGCCCAAATATCTTGTTGAGCAAAGCGTTTACATATAGTACCACAGTTAGCCTCTTCTTGTGAGGTAATGTTCCCACGTGTAATAAATGATTTTGAAATAATAGTATGAAAGGTGCATTGTACTTTTTAATTTGCAAACAAAAGTAATCATACTCTGTCATTTTTGTTCACTAAATGCTTAGTCTGTAACTACAGACTCTGGTTTGACTATTAATTAAAAATCATGTTGTTCCTTGGGAGAGCCCTAAACCAGCAGCAGCTAAGTGCAGGGCTGATACAAAATATTCTATAGCTTTAGTTCAGACCCAGTGTTTGATATAAAACCGACAATGGTTTCCACATGCAAACTACCAAAAGTTTGCTACTGATGTTGTATATTAAAAGATGTTGCATTAAAGAACCAAAATATCTATGTGGTGTGGCGCATTTGGCAGAGTGCAGTATCATCTGGGGAAGATAAACTTTCCACTTTGATACACATTTTTTCGATGACAGAAGCAAACTAGACACACTGCAGGAAAATTCAGGAAATGTATTTCACCTCTCTTGTTAGCAAAGCTTTTTGATGTCAATCTGTGCATATTTGTCAACAGTGACAACTTTTAGCCCCAGTCTGTACAAGGTCAGGTCCTATACCAGAACAAAACTGTTACTCTTGACCAAAGGACTTGTTTGAGGAACTTGGGGAAGGGAGAGCTTAAAAAACTGGGACAATTTTCAAATTAACGCAAGCCTACAGCTACCTGGCTAGACTCCTGCACCTGCAAAGCAGATTAGGGTTGCAACGATTCTATGAAAACTGTTTGATTTGAGGTATTCTCCTTGAGCTGGAATCGTGGCTTTAGACTTGACTCTGCAACCGATGAAAAGCGGGATCAGGAATGCCTAAGGTATTTGGTGGAAACCCCCGACTGTGGAATGCAGGCTCCCGAGCGATGATTGGGAAGGGGTGTGGAGTGGGTCTCGGTAAGGGGTACGTTTGGCCGAGATTGACAAGATTAGGGGGCATTTTTTTTCCTCCAGTCGACAAGAAAAAGGCCTTCGCAGAGATTCGTAATTGGCCCCCGATTATCAAAAACATTCGGACAAAGGGTCTGTGTTCTATACTGGCAAGCTGATCATAATCATAAACATTTGCCAGTAGTATATTGATGAATCAGCATAGATCACATGGAACTAAAATCCACAAAAATTGAAGATTGATTTTACAGTACACCATATTGTTAAAAGTGACATTGCTTTTAGTCTTTGTACTACTTCGTACAGTGAATCAAATTGTGAACACCGTTTGCTATGGACTTTTTGGTCTCCACTTAGGTTGAATATGTCCACAAATTAATTGTCTAAAAGTCATTTCGTAACCAATGCTATATTTGCTAACTTATCTTTCGGTGATTATATTTCAACTCTTATCCTGCTCTGATCAAATTTTGGAACCAGCAAAATACAGCATAAGTCAACTTTTCTGACACTAACAGTGTCTGTGGAACATTATGCTACCAAAAACTTGAAAATCAGTTCCCAGCAAACAGAGTGTTAACAAAACAAAACAAAACTTCCCGTACCTGAATCAAGATCAGTGGCGGTCAGGGTGACAACGGAAGTGCCGATGGCCACATCTTCAGGCACTTCTTCACTGTAGTCTACCGGGTTGTAGACCGGGTTATTGTCATTCACATCCTCCACATTGATGTAGACTGTTGCTGTTGAACTCCTGGGAGAGGATCCTTTGTCTGTAGCCATTACAGTCATGAAGTAATGCTGCTTCTGTAATTTTTATTGTAAAGAAGCAATTGGTAGAGTTGGTAAGGTTTATTAAAGTGAGGGTAAGAATAATTAATTGTACGCTAGGACTACTAGGAATAGTAACAGTATTTTTCACTCCGTTTTCTTTAAAAAGTAGTTAAGGAACTATCAAAAGTTTGTTATATTCATAGCATGAATCAATCTTTGGCAAAGGCTGAAAAATCCTTTATCAACTCCTTGAGATTTTTCTCCTCTGTAGGTATGTCATATTTAGATATTTAGAATATAGACATGATAGAAAGAAAATTGTCATTTCAAATTTTTCTTCATTAAGCTGTGTATCATTTGTTCCTAGTTTTACTGAAATGATTCTAATTTAGAATGATTGATTTCATGTCATTACCACTTCATAGTCAAGACTTTGTTGTAGCCTGAAAGCTCCTGTGGCAGGATCCAGATAGAAGACGTCTTCCCCAGGCGCTCCTTCTTCCACGACAGAGTAGGCAACCTCCCCGTTCAACCCTGCATCAGGGTCTGTTGCTACGACGACACCAACATCCTCACCCACCATCTCATCTTCCGGAACCAGGAAGGAGTAGGTTGACAAGGAGAACACCGGATCGTTATCGTTCTCGTCCAGGAGATTGATGTCGATAGTGGTCGTCGAGGTCAGCGTGCCATCGGACGCCTGGAGCTGGAGCTGGTAGACGGCAGAAGACTCCCGGTCGACCACGCCCCTGGTTCTGATCTGCCCGGTGGTGGAGTCGATGGAGAAGAGGTCGGTTGCACCATCAACTATGCTGTAGAAGATGATGGTGTCCAAGTCTGCATCCGTTGCCATGACAGTCTTGACGGGCGAGTTTGATGCCACATTCTCTCTGATGGAGGCGGTATACGGACCGTTGGTGAAGACAGGTGCATTGTCGTTTTCATCAAGTACATTGACAGTTACCTATAATGATAAGAAACAAAACAAAGAAAGACATTTGAGTGAATTTGCAAGGCATCTTCTTGTTCTCTTTGTTCTTGTAATAGTACCACAAACATAATACTCAAATCTGAGGTGTGTGACAGGGGCACTATGTCATCTATGCATGTATATTTTCATGGTTTCCTAAGAAAATCAACGCTGACCTTGGAAGCTAAGTTGAACAAACCTTGGTTAGAATGGGGTCTTCGGATTGGATTTCCAGCCATAAATATTATTAGAAAGTGGGAAAATAGTGCAATGTTAAAGACAATCTAATTTGTCATGCTCTCCTCAAAGCTACAACAAGCTCCCTGCCCTTCACCTCCTGACCAATGTTGGTGTTATGTTCATGAACTTCCATGGAAATTGTAAGAAAACAAGATGTCTATTTGGGTTGGAAAGGGTTAAAAAGTGTTTTCTAAATATGTGCTGCACCAGAGCATTGTTTTCTCACACACTTCACTCATCACCGGGACCTATGAAACTCCAGATGCAGGCAGTGCTGACAATGGGGTGGAGGGGAATCCAGCATGAACATTCAAAACATGGATAGCCTTTCAATCATAACATTTCCACTCCTGTTGCTACTCTCGCCACTCTGGGAACAACATTACATGCCGAACCCGTGACTTCTGCCTGAGAAAATAGCCTGGAAGAAGTCACAGGTATTGTATGGCAGGTTACCATGACAACCACCATCCATCAACTCCATCTACTTAATCATACCATCCTTGTTCTCCTTTAAATTTTTCATTTTTTTTTAGATTAGGGACAGAAAGAATGGGAGAGTGTAAAGTCTTGCCCAGAGGGGGTATATACACTTCTACTTCATGCTCTCATCATCAATCATCGACTGAATCATCTGCTCAGAGACAGAGGGTGTTAACTCATATCATTTTACACGGTGTTAACACCTTTTCAATGGTGTTAACGCCTTTCTGCCTCTTAGAAGATGATATGAGAAAGTGTATAGCCAAAGGCTGGGAATAAAAATAGATTGGGTAGCATGATACCAGTTTTCCATTACATGAAAGCTGTCTTGTAAATTTGTAACGTAGAGAATGAAAAACTTGAATATACAGGGAATGGGGTTGGGTTCAAGTCAAGGCTATATTGGCCGAGGTTATATAATTGAAGTGTAAATGTGTGTAAATGTATGGAAAAAGAGGTTAGATGCAGAATTAGGTATCATTGTTAGGTTACTCTGTAAGTTTTAAGTTTCAACAGTCTATTGTCTTCTTGTTGAAAAAATGTAAAACTATAAATTATATATTTCATCATGACATTCATATTTTAACATCTCATTCATAATTTACCATGATGCTATACACAATGTTTGAAGGTAACAACTTTCAAATACACTGTATTTATGGGCTTTTCATGTAAACTAGCATTATGCTAAGGATATAAGTTTCACTTGCATAATGCAACATTCTTGCTACGATTGATGTTTGTTTGTTCCTTTCTTTTCTACCTTTCCTCCTCATTTAACAACCAGGAAACTGTGAGAATTCCTCTCAAAATCTCTGCTAGATTCCTTTCTTATCAGCTTAACAAAGGACTAAGCTGGGCTGAGAAAAAGGAGCTACCAGCTACCTGTTGTTTACTAGAATAGAAGCTATTGTTCCTGGTCTTTTGTATCTAATCACCGAAACAGGTTGAACAATTATTCGAAGAAATTCCTCCCTTACTTTCTCCCACTAAGTACATGTAATCATCGTTGGCCAGTGCTATTAACACAACTGAACAATGGAATTACAAGACTAAGCTAAGGCAAGCTCTCAGCTTGTGGAGAAGAAGAAAAGCAGTTTTAATCCAACAACTTTTCCACAAAAAAATGTAATTACACAGTTACCACAGATTCTTCCTGGTTTACTGATCTTGTAGCACTCCAGAAAATGATCATAATTGGGGGGGGGGGGGGCAGAGATAGAGCGAGAGAGATTGGTAAACAGAGACTGGTAGGAATAATCTCTACCAAACCTTGTGAAACTTATTAGTTGGTATTAGTTGAGAAGAAGCTTTTTTTAGCTGGTGCCAACAGCTTTCGAACAAAAGTTGTAAGCTGATTACGGGTGTATTATTGTATTTCTCCTGTTTGTTCTGATTTTTTTAAAGATGTAAGCATCATATCCTGCTATGCTTAATCATTCTAAACCTGTGCTAAGACTTGTAAGAATTTGAAATCTTTTGTAATTGAGGACCGCTGATTCCACTCAAGATCTTTTCCATTGCAGCTGATCCTTGCGTAAAGAATTAAAGGAGACAAAATGGCACTTAATAAGTCATTTCTTTGCTTTTCAGTTTACAGCATGACAGGTGAGCTATGAAAGTCCATCTTCCTCATCGGCTTCCTATAATCTTCTTTCCATATTTCAAGTGTGACTCATACTTGCTACGTCAGAGAGAATAACTTCCAACCAACTACTGATTTACTGTAAATAACTTGGTGTGGATGACTACGTCCATACAATTAAATTATAATACTGAAAGAACATAGTAACAAGACTGATTAAGGGAAACAAAACCCAGTACCGGTATCTCCTCAATTGTCCCCATATTAAAGCCAGAGCAAAATAACTATGCAAAACATACATTATGGATTATATTTTATGGCAAAGCTGTAAAGCTTTCCACTTGTCAATTTAAGCCCCATAGGAAGCCTCATTAAGTATCTCAGCATGAACTTGACTACTACTGGTAGTTCACTGCCCTTACTTTGAAGGGAAAATGTATTAAGCTGTACAGACATACTCATTATTATTATAAATTATGAAATGTATACATGTATTTCAAAATGAAATGTCTGTTGAGAGCAAGAAGGGCAATAATTCTGTCTTAAAGTACATTATATGAGTAAGTGCAGTTCTGGCTCCTAACAGACAATACAATGTACCGGTATACATTTCTGCACATTCCATGGAGACCTATAATCTTTCTTTGTCTTCTCTGAGAAAATTCTTTTGTGGAAATGTCGACATCTTGAACTATCACTTCGCTTTTCTCGTTCATCATCCCAACAATGACAATTTATGGCTTGACTCTAGCACAACGTATCATAAATAATTCACAGGTTGGGATACTTCAATCACTTCCATTTCTTGTACACTCAAAGAAACAGATAGTCAAATGCAAACGTGAACCAATTTTTATCCCCCACAAATTAAAACAAAAGCAGATCATCAATCACTTTGGTTCTAACATCTTGAATCCTTGGCAATGACTGTTTTGATTGCCTTTTTCATGCCATAAACGAAAAGGGTATTTGGGAAACAGTGCAATTATCACTCTCTTTCTTTTTTTACTATTCTGAAAGACACCATACTATCAAAAAGACTGAGTGTACAAAAAAGGTACGAGGTTGGGTCCAAGTTCACATCATTCGCATAAGCCTTCTAAAAGTCTCAGTTACTTATGAAGAGAAAATAGACAATGTAAATCTTCAGATCAATCATGCAGGGGCAATTTGTTGACATGACTTTCACCTAGTTCTCGTCTCACCTTGGGTAGGACTCAAAGAAAATAGAAAGAAGGCATACTTTTGGTGTTTTGAAAAGAAGACCACTCGATAGAAACGTAGAAAGAAGGAATAGTTTTATTGTTTTGAAAGGAAGACCACTAAGATCTCACAAGATGCCTCATGGCTAGGCGAGGGTTTGCACTTTGTGGAGCTGCTAAAACATGCTATTGTGAAATACGCAAAAAAGGTTTTGACTTTGGTATTTAAATTACTTTTGAGGAGCAAGCATCAATGGAAGATAATTGGTTTGAAACTTCTTCTAATACAATGAAGGATAAGCTTTACCTTGGGGAATATTGGAAAGTGTTTTTCTTCTGTTTAATGACCAAAAGCTACATTTAAAAGAGGGATTAGAGAAAAGACTGGCAGTGGTATACTTTGTGATATTTTTGTTTCCATGGAGAGTCAAAATCCACAACCCAGACTTACTTATAGTTTAGCAAGATCATCATTAATACATTTGCAGCAACTACTTTAAGTTCCTACTTTTTTACTTTATTTCAAATCCTATACATGAATGTTTAAATGTAAACATAAAGAATGGGAAGATCTGAAGAACACGCCCACACTGTAATATAAAGATGGGAAGATTACAGAGGCTCCAAGAAAGGATCTGGGAGAGGCTTTGGAGTTTGGGAAAGGCTTCTTCTTTTCCTTCCAACCACCAACCTGGCCAAGGGGTGAAGGGACAATGGCAATCTTATGTAACAAGAACAAAAGGGAACCTCGGACTGCTGGTCTGTGCCCTGAGGGGGACCGCCAAGATCCTAACTGTTGTCTTCATTTAAAGGCAGAGGTGTATGAAAGAATGCAAGTGCCCCTTCCCTTCTCCTTTGCATGGTTAGTTAAACAGACTGCATGCACATCACCTTAATTGAAATGGGCCTATCCAAATTTAAAAAATGGGCAATATTCTAGATTTTCTGCACTTTAAAATATCAATTATGTTCCTAATGTGAAACCTATTACGTGATAAGTTAAAAGTAGGAATTTAATTTATCCATGAATTCTGATTAAAAGACTAATCTGAAGATCCATGTTTGTGAGTAACTTCTTAAGTGGATAACATGGCTGATTGGACAAGAATGTGAAACCTCTCCATATTGATTTCCATTATTCTACCTTTGGATTTTAAGGTTGATTTTTACTTTAAAAAAGAATGTGAAGCCTTTGTTCCTTTCGAATACAATACATTCATACTTTTTAGTGACAATACCCTTAGGCTAATAGCATTCAGATGTCTTATGTGTATATCATCTCAACTGACAAAGAACTGTTGGAACCGATGACGATTTTACCACTCCAGCATCTTCCAGTTTGTGTGGCTAATTGCATGACCATTACCCCAGCTCTTGATCAATTTCTATGAAAATTCAATGTTTTTCAAGCTTTTTCTGTTGAAACATGGACGTTTGAATAGTGCTACGTAATCAACAAAAAGGATATTCCTAAGGTATCCCTCCCTCAATTAAACCCTAACAA